AGTCTTCCGATCACTCAAAGCGCTTTTACACTACGTGCCACATTCACCCTTTCACACACATTTATACAGCGATGGCAAAGTCCATCGAACAGAAACTAAACAACCTTCCGATTAGGAGACAACCCGCTCTGCCTCTGCGCCACAGCCGCCCCCTGGATGTTGGCTCACTGGGAAGGCTCTGCTACACTAAATGGAACATATTATAGTATCACTGATACTTACTAATTAAGGTTCTGTGTTTACCCTGTGCACCCTGTGTACCATAAAGAAATGTTTTTCCCAGTTGGATGTGGGAGAACTTGACTGGCCTGCACAGTGTCCTGCCCTCAACCCCACTGAACACCTTGGGCATGAACTGGAACACCGACTATGAGCCAGACCTTACCACCTAACATCAGTGCTGGACCTCACTAATGCTCTAAAAATTCGACCAATCCATTTAGAAGTTCACGCTGTCTCTAACAGGAGTCATACAGAGGCATAGAAGCGGATCGCTTCCTGGCCGGCAGGTCACTGACTGCAGGGGAATTCAGTCCAACCACATTTTTGTCCTGATACATTCTTTCCTGAAGGGCCAGAATTAGCTCTGACAAAATGAATGTCTGGAAATTTATAGATGAACCCATTGATTTCGGGGAAAATCATGGGCATAGGGTTCAGGCTGGGCAACAGTTTTCCTACCCTGCAGATACCACTCTGACGAGGTCACGGAGGTTCAGTTTGACTGAGGCGGTGAGGATGTAGCTAGGGTCCACAGCCGGCTCCATCTCCCCCTGAGACACCCAGTAGCCCTCCACCTCCACGCAGAGCCAGCCTGAGGGCGCAGGGATGGACTGTGGGAAACATAATAAAATGCTTGAACTGTTCACAAATAATCTTGTGTACATGAAGGACAACATTTAACACATAACTATTGATCTAAAATTCTGTAATTTTACCCATCTGGTTTTCATTTTGTAAAATTTATGCAACTGGCAGCTTCAATACAAAACTAGTGGTAAGGA